TTGTATAGGTAATATTCCATCTTTATTGGAGAAGTGGTTTACAATATGAAAGTTTGATACTTTCTAGCATTAATCTTAGAAGTACATATGCTCTTCATTTAGATATTAGATATCTTTCTAGAGCAGTTTTACCAACAACCCTCTTTTGTACCAAAAGTTCCTTTTTGAAATCTCCCCAAGTGAAGGGCTGATACTTTTTAGGGTTGGTTTTTGGGTCCATGAGCTCAGGAGGGCACTCAATGAGAGCAGAGTTACCAGGGCTCATGAAATATGCTGCTGATAGCCTATTCTTCTCCTTGTTAACCACTGCTCTGTGCACTACACTCCGCAGCCTCCCATTAGTCCAAGCCTGCCAGCAATGAAAACAAATTTATAAACGAAATGAAATTTCCTCCTACCAAACTGTGAATTTGAACCATTTGTTATGTTGAAACCTATTAAAATGTGTGGTCTAGATTCACAATTTGGCAATATAAACATTTGTTCGATCGGCAACAAAACAATAGTATTTAAACTAAATCAAAGTATATGATACACAATTGCATATGAGAGAGAAATTACTTCAAGGGTGTCACCAATATTGATGATGAAAGAATTTTGAACAGGGCGGATACCAATCCATTTGTTGTTACCCATCAGAACTTGAAGCCCACCAACATCATCTTGCAGCAATATGGTTAAGGTGTGAGGGTCTGAATGGCTCCCAAGCCCAAGACATTTTTCCGGGAGAGGACAAGGTGGATATCTGTTGACCCTGATCATGGTAGCCTCTTTCTCTTCAAAGTGCTTTTTAAAAAAGTCGTCTGGAAGGTCCAGTCCATGAGCTAGCATCTCGAAAATGGTCATTCCTAGATTGTCTAATGCATTCAGGTAGTCAATCATGGCCTTGCTGATGCATATATTCCAAAGATTAGAATTAGTTTTATACTATGATCAATGAATAAAACTATTTGGCCACAATGAATAAAACCATATGATGGGTTAAATAAATAAAATAAAACCATATTTCTTGCTACACAATGTTTAACGACAAAACAATCCATTTGAAAGATGACAAGTAGGAAATATAAGATTGTCATAAAATTTAAACACATCATTTTCCAATTAGAGTATATTGTGTCACTTAGTATTGTCACATGCCAGGAATATCCCGAAGCATCAATAAATATGGTTCTAAAATCAGTGACCAGGAATTGAAGTATTTAGAGGATATGAAATTCTTACCTAAATGGCTGATGTTGATCACCAAAAACCTTCGTAGCAAATCCAACTACCTGTTGTGGGGACTGGAGCAATTGCAAGATCTCTGCCCAAGGCAAATTTTTTCCATAATCAGGATTTGTGGCACAGTAACCCAGTGGTAAGCTAGCTGATCTAACACCCTTCAACTTCTGCTCCATTGGAAGATCAAAAAGCCCATTTAAACTCCCCATGAAACTCTCTATCGTCTCCAAAGCAACCCCATGATCCACTAGCTTGAAGAACCCCCACTTCTCACAAGCCTTCACCATGACTTGGCAAACCTTGTCATAGTTAGGGTTTTTCCTCCCATCTAAAACCCCTTGGAGACTTATGACAGGGATGTCATCTGCATCTGCAAAGTCATCATGGTTAATTTCTGGCCATTCTTCTGTGGACCAAATGAAATTCTTGACACTTAGATTGTGCCCCATGGAGGAAAGTGACTCAACATATTGGTCTTCAATTTGTAGAGCCATGCCAAAGTCTCAAAGATTAGGGTTTGCAATTTCCTTTGCTCAATTCAGTATTAATTTGAACCAGAAACTTCATGTATATAAATGATTCATTTTGTATAGCCATATAGTGTGCTTTGTTAAGTGTGATAAAATTGAAGTTGATTGTAGTTTTCAAGGAGATTCAATGTTGGCTTATAGTATCATTTGTTGCCTAGGATTTATAACGAGGCTGTCTTTTAGTGGAAAAACATGCGATTCTATTGGAGATAACTAAGATTCCAACAAAACAAAGTAGAGAGAAAATGGAATCTGTGAGCCGTCCAATTGGGCAATTGTTTAACCACTAACATCAGAGCCGTGTTAGGCAAACAATGAATGCATCATATGATGTCCTTTCCGCCAACGGGCCAACTAACAAAGGAAAATATTCTAAACCTGATTGTTATATAAGTTTTTCTCACTAACCTGATTTGTTTTTGTTACGTAGAAATGGATCAAGCACTCTTGATCTATTCTAGTCGTAACTCATGACTCTACCCTCTTCATTACTTAGATGGTATCAGTAGAATTCCCATACCACATGGATGCAAGGATAAAGCATAACGAGTTAATTTATCTATGAATCGCTTTATTGGCCTTTCGAAAGACAAAAGCAATCGTAGTACTAATCAACTGTAACAAAAGCATAGCTCACTCTACACTTGTTAAACTAAACAAATTACTGCACTTTAAATTAATTTAAGGTTTAAATTTAGGACTGTTTTTTTCACCGGGAAAATTAACATGGCAGTACTGCCTTGACCAATTTGTTACAAATCTACTTCTCTTCAGCTTGGCATCTTGGTGTGACTTTCTTAAAGTTTTTGCTCTCTTTCTTCATTTTTCACACTTTTAAGTGCAATAATAATATTACTGGAGAAAAGGTGCAGAAAAGGTGAGGATGGACGCATTGCTGTTGGGGGTGTACTAAGAGATAGTTCTGGGCAGTGGATTAGAGGCTTTGCTGTTAGTCTTGGGGTCGGACAAGTCTTGGAAGCAGAGTTATGGGGCGTCTATCTTGGATTGAAAATTGCTTGGGATATGGGTTGCAATGCAGTTGTGCTTGAGTCTAACTCAGCGATTGTGGCACAAATGCTTAATAAAGATGTGGAAGAACTTGCTGCTATGTTGTGGGGATGCCAAGACTATATAAACAGAAGGTGGGTTTGTTCTATATATTCATCATGTATATCATGAATGCAATATGGTGGCAGATAGATTAGCTTAATCGGGTTCATGTTTTGAGTTGGGTCTGTCAACCTTCTATGATCCTCTTGATAATATTAGGTCTTTTCTTAGTGAAGATTTACTTGGAGTCTGTAGGCCTCAAGTTATTGTTTAGTTTCTCTATTGGGTGTTAGCCCCATTTCTTCACATAAAAAAAAAAGAAAGAGAAAAACTAAGTTAGACATTTAGGTGGCGTTTGGGGTTGCTTAAATTTTTCAAAAAGCAGCTTTAATAAAAAAAGTTATGGTAGTTTGAGTGTTTGGTAAACATGAGGAATTGGGCTTTTAAAAAAGTTGTTGTCAATAACCCTTGTTTTTTAAAATCCCTCACAACCTAGCTTTTAAAAGCTACTTTAAAAAATTGAGATTTTCTATTTAAACCCCGCATTTCTCTTTGTTCACCCCATGTTCTAAGTTCACCCCAACTTCTAATTCAAATTTTCACAATTTCTAAGAAAACCCCACTATCTTCCTAAACTACCCCTAAATACACACCCAGCAGAAAAAATAAAAAATAAAAGAGTTTTTCTATTCAAACCCCACACTTTTTTTTGTTCACTCCAATACTTAAATCATTAAATGTCACATCCCGCGATCGGCTCCGTCGTAGCACAATATTGTCCACTTTGGGCCCCCCTCTCTGCCCTCACGGTTTTGTTTTTGGGAGCTCACGAGTAACTTCCCAGTGGGTCACCCATCCTGGGATTGCTCTAGCCCTCACTCGCTTAACTTCGGAGTTCCCATGACTCCGAAGCCAGTGAACTCCCAAAAAGCCTCGTGCTAGATGGATGTAGGTATGTACATATAAGACACATCACCCCCTCTCCGTTGGTCAATGTGGGATCCTACAATCCACCTCCCTTAGGGGCCTGACGTCATCGTCGGCACACTCGCACCACATAGCAGAGTGGCTCTGATACCAAATTGTCACATCTCGGGATCGGCTCCGCCGTAGCACGATATTATCCGATTTGGGCCCCCCTCTCTGCCCTCACGGTTTTGTTTTTGGGAGCTCACGAGCAACTTCCTAGTGGGTCACCTATCATGGGATTGCTCTAGCCCCCACTTGCTTAACTTCGGAAGTTCCCATGACTCCGAAGCCAGTGAGCTCCCAAAAGGCTTCGTCCTAGATGGATGCGGGCATGTACATATAAGGCACATCACCCCCTCTCCGTTGGTCGATGTGAGATCTTACATTAAACTCTTAAATTTTATTAGTATATAAAATAAAAAAAATCATATATTGTCATGAGACGATGGTGAAGAGGCAGAAGTGGTGAAGCATGATCATGAAAACGAAGGTGAACAAGAGCTGGAAATGTAGAAGGATGATTATGATATCCCAATTACTCAGGCGATGGTTTATTTTTGGGGTGTGGTTGGTCTTTATTTATAGAAGGAGATGCTGGTTTTAATTAATTAAATTACAATATTAATAATATGTATTTAACCTGATCATTGAGAATTAATTAAATAGGCATGCATGTTCCCCTCTCAATTTTATTTTGATGCTCATAGAGCTAGAGTCAGTCAAAGGCAGGCATGCTTTTTGTATGATTGATTGCTTGTACAATAAGACTAATCAAACTCTAAAGACTACTTAAACCCCGCTTAAAAGCCCCTCATTATAGCCACGCCGATTGCGGAAGATGCTTGTTTGGGCCTCTCTTGTTGCCTTCGGCCTGCCCATGTACCTGTTGGCGAGTATATCCTATTCTATTTGGGTTTTATTTATTTTTCCTTTTGTATAGATATTATGTAATTAGGATTCCACCTATTTCCTAATTAAACCCTACTAGGGTTTGTAACCTTGTATTATAAATACCTCCTTTCGGAGAATGAAATATATCTGAAAATATTCTACCATATTGTTTGACTTGGCATCAGAGCCGACTTTCTGGTGACCTGTGTGTGTTGTGCCTATAGATATTATGTAATTAGGATTCCACTTATTTCCTAATTCAACCCTACTAGGGTTTGTAACCTTGTATTATAAATACCTCATTTCGGAGAATGAAATACGATTACTAGTCGTCATATGGCAAGTTGGATCAATGGGAAGAAGCCTGCTCCGTCTCTAGAGTTCGATGCCTATGCCGAATGTGAAGAAGATAATTGTCTGGTGCAGTCATGGCTTCTCAATTCCATGACTAAACCAGTTCGTGTCTTGTTTGAACATGGTGATACTGCTTTTGATATATGGGAGGCTGCTCGGAAGACCTATACTGTGACTCAGAATAGTTCTCG